GCATGCAGGGGAACTGGTTTGCCATATCCATATGGGGTGTGTTCCATATCACATATGACGATTGCCGATGTGCCGAATCTGCTAGAGTTGCCCTTAGCAATACAACGCATGACAATTGTTGAGTTGGAAGAGAAAGAAATGAGAAAAGGGGGTATCTTGTTTTTAGCCAAGAGATGATCTCTCACTAAGAAGAACAAGAGAATTATATCCATTTTACTCGATGTCATCTCTTAACTATGTGTTTTCTATTTTGCTTTTAAATTTTTGAGGAATGATAGAGTTCTCCCACCTGAATATATATTGCTCAAAAGTGGCCAAAGCCAAGAGTCACTCCTTAGGCTTTGACTGGTCCAGTTTATAAGGAAAACCGTTATTTTATTTTTAATCATTCAACACATTTAGGAGCATGTAAATATTAATCGTTAGATATAACACTAAAAAATGACTAACTGTATAATTTGTTTTTTTATCTTCTCACGTATGCACGACATACGATAAGACCATCTTCTCAACAACTAATGCGCCTTTGGAGACGTAAAAGAGAAAACTCAATTGACTGCATAGAGGTCCTTCATTCCTAAAATAAACGTAACACCAGAGCGAGGCGAGCTCCCCAACCCAAGATTCGTGACATCGACGGCGCACAGACCGCCACCCACGGGCCTGGCATACCATTGACACACCACCTACACTACACGTACCGAACCAAAAACCGCAAAACAACAAAGGAGATCTCCCCGCTCGCTCATATGCCATGCATGCACGCATGTCCAGTCCAACAATGGCATGGCATAACATAAAGCATCGCACATCATTCCAGCCCGTGACCGATCGACCCGCGATATGATATGATTATGAACTGACCACGCTTTGGGGCGACAAGAATCGCGGGCTGCCACGCCACCGCCGAGCAATCCTCATGATCGCTGACAGCAACGGAGCGACCGACGTACCTTCGCGCCGCGCCGCGCCGGCGATCGATGCGCACGCGAGGAGAGGACGGACCCTCCGCTCCCGAGATCCGGGTCCGGCCAGCGGAGCAGCGGAGCGGAGCTAGCTGGGCGTGCGCAGTCGATGTCCCCCACCCCGTCTTTCGCTTCGCTGCTGCCGGTGGGCGACCGGCACGGGGTCGGGCCGCCCAGCGGTCCCTGGCCTGCCTGTGCCGGTGCCGAAGCAGCTGTCATCGGGGCCAAGCCGGCCCCCGAACCGTACTTTAGCCGGGGAGATTAAGCTCCCAAATCATGCCTCCTGGAACTGCAATCGATCGAGCTAATGGAGTGAAGTTGGGGAGATTAAAACAGATTTTTCTTCAACAAAAAGTGAGATAAGGATGAACAGCAATGGGACTGGGGCGCTGTCCACCCACATTCAGTAGTAACGCAACATTATTCCTGGATAGGAACAGTGGCGCGTGCGACTCGATCGCGGGCACGCCATGTGGGGGGATGGCACCGCACAGCAGTTCCCTCGCGTGGCCGGTCGGCCCGGGCAAAGACCATCGCGGGCAGAGAGATAAGCTCGGACCGACGCACAAGACGGAGAACTCCGTCTCCGTTCCGTGGCACAGGACAGCGCTGTGCTCCCCTCCGAGTTCGGCCGTGCGTGGCTGTGGCGGTGGCTCCTGGTCCTGGCTTGGGTGGATGCACGCCATGCGCCAGCACGGGCGCCAGCGACGTGCGTCCGGTTCGTTCGATGCACGCAGCCCGCCTGCCCAGGTACATGCAACATGTGGTGCACCGACCGGTCGCCGGATTGGATTGGATGAATTTTGCGCAAGAACACGAACGGTCGTCGCGCCGCGAGATAAAAGTCGTGCGAAAATCCACGGGACGCTTTACTTAGTGGAATAAAAATAATACTGTACTGTACTAGTCAACTGATCTCGCAATCAAGATCGCTATAACATTATTTTTTATTTTTATTTTTTTAGCATCAGTACAGACACAAGTGCTCATATACATGCATATATACTCATCCCTATGAACGCACACACGCACACCCTACCTCTAGAACATTAGCGGATCAACAAATGATAAACTGAGTATACTAATTTGTACGTATTTGACCGGATCGAACTAGATATACATACATACACGCGGACACGTAATGCCCACTTGTACCGCTCTTCTTCGCCAAAAAGAAAAGAAAGTAAAAATATCTCCTGGCGCTGTCGCTGGTCGTGGCAGATCACATCACACGTTTGGGACACTGCAAATCTCCTGGTGGCATATATACGAGTAAAAATCGACATCTGTTGCCACCTGTGCGGATACAGTCTTGTACTGACGATGTCAAAAGGTATGGCAACGCCAACGCACGATGGGTGAGCTTTGGAGGGTTGTGCATAAATGGCGCAGCCTATTCAAAAAGATTTTACTCATGAGTCGTATTCACATCTTGTTTGCCTCTCACTAGTTCGTACAAGAATTGGATCCTGGATACAATAGTTTTTTTTTTGAAACGAAGGCAAAAGATTTGCCTCATATATTAAATAAGGAGAGAAGAGTTATAAATTAATAAATAATAAAAAAGGAGAGAAGAGTTTGTTACAATACACACTTAGAATACGGCATGTCAATTATTCTCGCAATAAAAAAGACCCTAACTTCTTTGCCCCGGCGGTGATCCAAAGGTTTGCCTCGTCGACGATGATGTTGAGTAGAAATGGCAGAGGCGTGCTCTTATGCCGGAACGCTCTTGCGTTCTCTCATTCCAAATGACCCACGACACAAGCATGGATATAATAGTGATTGACTGCCGTGAGAATTAGAATCGTAAATCACCAACCCAATTCCAGTGAGTTAGAACACGATTACCGGTCTTGCTAGGTCTCGCTCGATTGAGATTTCCTTGAGTTTCAGTCCATTCATAGAAAAAATGCAACAGGGCAAAAGAGTGCAAGTTGCACTTTCCTGAATGGACTGACACTTCAGAAAAGTTCAGTCGACGGAGATCTAGAGAGGCCCTATGATTACTCCAAAGGACTAATTTTTAACACTAGCGAACAAATGAAATTGGGGAGCACATTTGCAAGTTTTGATTAGTCAATAAGCTCAAAGTAGCTCCTCTGCACGCGGACAGTGTCATAAAATTTCAACCGATTTCATGAAAATTTCAAATTTAATCCAAAGTTTTTACGTTGTAAACGTTTGCCCGTTTCAGTCTGCCAATAAGTTGAAAGCACCCCCTCTGCGCCTGGATAATGTTGGTCGAATTCCAGTTGATTTAGGGCAACTTTGTAAGCGTGAACACGCGGTTAAAATTCTGAACACCCAACGTATGGTTCCTTGTTGCACTAGCTAAGCGTTTTAGGCAACAATGTGTGTTGTCGCTGGCATGATAGCCGAGACATCGGGTTTTCGGACTCCACTGAAATCTCTATGAGCGCCATGGCATGACAACGAGAGAGGTGCCATGCTGTGCAAGTGTAAATGTCGTTCGGGCGTTCCATTCATCTACTTGCTTATATAAAACTTCTGTGTGCTTCACGGGTTGATTTTGTGTTCCCGTTTGCACCACACGAACACTAGTTCGCCTTGGTTCAGTTTTCGTGTGGCATGTATGCTCTGAGCATAAACATGCAGGCTCACCGCACCAAACGAACTGAATCTTAACAAAAAATTGACCATTCAGGATGCAACTCCTGATATCCAGTGTTCATCCAGGTTTCAGAACACCGGCCTGATAACGTCGTCGAAGAGGTTGTAGCATGTGTACTTGTGCTTGAACATAGCTGCTACTCCTGATACTATCTTCCTACTTAAAACAGAACATAACTCAGCTAGAGCCCTTGCTTAAGCAACGATTCACTACCCTTATGAAAAATCAATTACACCAGAGCGTTTCCGAGGGCGAATCCACTTTGAATTTGATAAATGTATTGCTTGTGAAGTATGTGTTCGCGTATGTCCAATAGATTTACCCGTTGTGGATTGGAGATTTGAAAAGGATATTAAAAGAAAACAATTGCTTAATTATAGTATTGATTTCAGAGTTTGTATATTTTGTGGTAATTGTGTTGAGTACTGTCCAACAAGTTGTTTATCAATGACTGAAGAATATGAACTTTCTACCTATGATCGTCATGAATTGAATTACAATCAAATTGCTTTAAGTCGGTTACCAATCTCCATAATGGGAGATTACACAATTCAAACAATTAGGAATTCGTCTAAAAGTAAAATAAACAAAGAAAAATCTTTGAATTCAAGAACGATTACTGATTACTAAACTTTGATTTTGTCTTTTTGTTATAAAAATCTAACAATTCTTTATTAAACTTTAAAATTAAACTATAAAGAAAAACGAAAAACTACTGCTTATTGGAAATTCTTTCTTATTTTAAATCAGACTAGATTTTCATGATATAATATAATTTCTAACTATACAGTTTATACACAAAAAATACCCTAATCCTTTTTTCCTTCCTTGAATCCTTTAGTTTTAGTCAGTTCATGAAAAAAATTATACTATTAATTTCTTTTTATCCATAATGGATTTACCTGGACCAATACATGAGATTCTTATGCTATTTTGGGGATTTGTTCTTCTACTAGGGGGTCTAGGAGTAGTATTACTTACCAACCCCATTTATTCTGCCTTTTCGCTGGGATTAGTTCTTGTTTGTATATCCTTATTCTATTTTTTATTAAATTCCTACTTTGTAGCTGTCGCACAACTTCTTATTTATGTGAGCCATAAATGTCTTGATCATATTCGGTGTAATGTTCGTAAATGGCTCAGAATGGTCTAAAGATAAGAATTATTGGACTATTGGAGATGGGTTCACTTCACTCGTTTGTATAGAGATCTAAAGCAATATGAAATTAGAACACGACCGACAGAGCAACAAGTTTAACCGTGCATAAGCATCAGCTGACAACATGATCGCAGGTTGAGTCATGGATTCAAGAAAGAGCAGATACCGCTCTTATGATGGATCGGATGGTAACAAGAGGGTACACAGACGTCGCGCCACGCCTGATGGAGGACGTCTAGAGCTATTTCACATGACCAAGGCGCTTGAGGGTCCATAACACACCTTCAGCACCTTGTTCCTGGGCAGCTCTCTTCTGGGGTTTGGGCTCACTGATGCACTCCACAACAGTGTCTGTGAACGTCTCCACAAGAACACTCACCTTGCATGTGAACCTGCAGTGTTAATAGAACATCAGATATGCCCATTTCTATTTCAAACTCTACCTACCATCTTAAGCAAATTATCAACCAGATGCATTTTCCACCGCCCAGAATAGAAAACATAAGACATCAGAGTTGTTATTTATTAGCGTTGACGTGGTAGCTAGCCCGAGCTAATGAAACTATAGAAATTTTCTCAAAAGAACATGGACTTCTGGGCTACTTCTGAGTAGCCTTCAGTGTTTATCACCATTCCATTATTGCCATTGCAGTGTTTATCAGCATTGGATTTACCAACTGCACGATCTTGTATAATTATTCAATTTTCAAACAGTAGTGCATGGCACATCAGGAATGCAGCTCGATTATCAGCTATGCATGCCATACGAGCTGGTAGTACAGCACAAAGTGTTCAAAGAACACTCAAGTGAGTATAGAATGGCCAGTAACTGTCACACCTTGCGGAGGAAGCCACTAGTGGCTTTGCCTATGATAATATGGACAATATTACATTTGAGGTAATATAATGCACAATGCGCCTATATCTGTTGAAAGCACATAAAAAACAAATTACAGATTCGCGGGTTAATAGGAAAGCTTACAGTTTTGTATGGCCATGTCCATGTTCTTGAAACTCATATGTTGGACTCTTCCAGCCAATTGCACTGCAGAGTTGAGCCAGTCTCGACCTTGCTTCTGGTTCTTCATTTGCACCGCCTATGAATTCAAACAAAATCAGCAATTATAAAACAACAGTTTAACTTCAAAAATAAGATTTATGCATATATTGCTAGAGTGATGCATCCCTTGTTCCGTGTCCAAGATTTTATTTGAAACACTGTATTCTTAGTTAAAATACTCTTGAACCAAAATACTGAACATTCAGATCATTAACTTCTTAACTGTATGGAATATTTGAACTGTAATGATCCTTTCTACCCGAGTCATGTCTTCGGAATTTGGACATGACATTTGCCCAAGGTATACATCATCACGAGAAAGTACACCATGCAACAGGTAATTTGTGAAGAAACTGTTAATACTGTAGATAAGATAAAGCACCATCGTTTTCTGACCAAAAGATAAAACACCGCCCAGAAGGATATAAAGAAGATGCTTACATGCTATCTATATTACGAGTCAATGGTTTAAACTGTCAATTTTCTAGAGAAGGATTTCGCAGTAAACTAAGAATCATTCTAACGAGTTATTGTGAATTTTGTAATCCTGGACAGACTGCAGAAGCCAGAGAAATTAGTATCCATGTAAGTTAGCTTCAGTGCTATGTCCACATTACCTTGTTTTCATGCCAGATCAATGTCACTTTCTTCTGATATATCACTTCTCTTAACAATTGAAGCTAATGTTATAGTAGTACTATAAATATCACTCTCTATGTCCGTGAAAAAATCACGCTTTTTCCACGCAAGAACAGTGTCAGGTCTCTGTTTCTCCGTGGCCTACCAAGATTGCCTCTTAATCGTCTCCATCCTATCGGCCTTTTCCTTAAATCTCATGTGGTAGTTATTCCAAATCTTGTGTGGTAGTTTGTGTGTTCCTAATCTGGCTAATGACTGATGTCAATTACTTCCATGAACGCGTGATTAATTAGGGGCAGTTTTGGGGAAATAAGAAGGCCAGTTCTCTTCTATCATTCATTAATCTACACGCCCAGAAAATTACGCCCACTTTTTACGATCAGAGGGAGTACATATACAGATGAGGAGGTTATAAGATCATCCAGTCTCTCATTATATAGGCAGCAATAAGTTATTCAAATTTTCCATTCAAGTACATTGATATCTAAATTTTGGCTAACACAACCATACTTAAGAGATATAACTCTTTGTCCATCTTATATGAAACCATAACATTTTATTTAAAGGCTGTATTGATTATTCTGAAATCAATCAGATTTAACAGTGGCTAAAAGAATCATGAGAAGAATTAAAAAAGATAAGAATTTCAAATACCAAGAACATGCCCCTCACTGCAACCATTTGCTTCACCATTGCTCAGCACAACACAAGCAGACTCTTTTGGTGAAGGATCACCATGCCCTTTATTCTCACTCTCAATGGCGAGTTCAATTTCCTGCTGCGGTTGGGCAACACACCCTGTAGCTTTGGGCTTTTTGTGCGTGCATAACACCTCCTACAAGTAAAACTATTAGGACCATTCAAACAAAAATTGATTTTTTTGTGAATTACATAAAAAATTCTTCTAGGCATAGCCGGTCCCAAGCCCGGGTAAAGGAGGAGGGTTGTGATAGGCTTAGCGAGCCAACGTAAAAACTAGCCAGTCCCATAGGTATGAAACCCATTTGAGCGAGAATAGTACTAGGATGGGTGACCTCCTAGGAAGTCCTCGTGAAAGGGTTTCATATCTAAGGGTTGTGATAGGCTTGGCGAGCCAACGTAAAAACTAGCCAGTCTTTTGGGTATGAAACCCATTTGGGCGAGAGTAGTACTAGGATGGGTGACCTCCTGGGAAGTCCTCGTGAAAGGGTTTCATATCTAGCCTACCCCAACTTGTTTGGGATAAAAGGCTTCGTAAGTAAGTACATAAAAAATTCTTCTAGCTGATGAAAGAAGAGAGAAACCCAAGATACAACCGATGTGCTCAAAGGGAAGATGGAAAAGAAATGAATGCAAGAGATGTTGTCATCTTTTACCTTTTCTTCCAACTCCTTCTCCGTTCTTGTATTGATCGGCATGATACTAGGCTCCTGGTACACAGGCGGCACCATAAACACTGAGCGGAAAGGAGTCACCTAACAAAAGTTACAAAAGTACTGGTAATTTGGTATATACTTCTATGAAAATGATTTCTTGAACATTGTACCGTAAACTGAGTAGAAGAAGAGCATTTATCAACTGATAATTTTACCCAAAAAATCTGCTCTATTATGGACATTAATTACGATAAACTAGATCGAATCTGAAAGATTGCGATCCAATCAGGGATATCGCGTTGTGAAGCTTCGATCGAGAGCTACATGAGCGAGAGGAATCAGGGCTCCACCTGAGGGAGCGGCAGGGAATACCGGAATAGAGGACGGAGACCGGGATCGATTGGAATTGAGCACGAGCTGCGCGTGCGGTGGGAGGAGAGAAACTAAACCTAGGGCTATGCAACTCGAATTCCCATGGGGCCATAGTCCACTATATATACACATACATGTGAGGGAAATATGCAGAAAGCCCCTTATACAACAGGGAAAATACAAAGACTATACATGGCCACAAATATAACTTTGGAGAATTAGGTAATGCACATTAACTAACAACTGGTCCAGATATATGGCTCCAGAAAGCATATACCACAAGTGAGCATGACGCTGTATAAAAGACAGGATCCATTGTGTGGCACCTAAGCCAACCCTACGGAAATTTTGGCGAAGATGGCATGTTATGTTGGGAAAGTTCTATGAGGATCTTTCACAAAATCAAACAGCGAAAATAGAAGACAAAGTTTTAAGGTGTTAAGAGTAAGGTGTTAAGACAGTGATAATTGCAGAAATACAGTTAGGCGTTCATGATCTGTATGGAACAAACCATTACAAGCTTTTTGTTGAACAAAGATGTAAAAGGTAGTCTGGGAAATGGGCACCAACCTCGCCATTCTTATGTGCTTGTAAATACATACCATAAAAGTTATCACACTACGAGTCGCCAATGTTACTTGGTTCAAGCAGCCTCTAGAACAAATCCTAACTATGACAATCTGTCACGCAATTATTAGTCTGCAATCTTGAACACCCCTCCTAGTCTAAAGACCGTCAATCTTCCAGATCATTATTTCAAGTCAATCAAGGGCACTACACTACACTTTTCCCCTAAGAAAAAGAAGATGGCTTATTCCCAGGGCCGGCCCTAGCATCTTAGAGGCCCTTGTGCGAGTTTCATATAATGGGCCCTCATAATATACTCAATTTTTTTTCCAGTGAAGGACTTAGCACCTTTTCCAAATTCAACTAATTGATTTACAACTTAGATCCTTTATTTTTCTCACAACCGATGATAATTGCTTTTTTGGATCTTTATGACAAACAAAAAAGGAGAGAGCACCTGAATTCCAAAATCTTGGTTTTGGAGTAAATTAGAAGAAATTCTATGCTCCATCCATCCAATAATCAAAATTCATGCAAGGACACAACCTGCATAATTTACATGACTGCAATTTGAACAAAAATAGAGCAATCAAGTAGGTTAAACATCAGCAATGGCTTATCATGAATTTTGATTATTACGTCAACTCATCATAACAGAAATAAACAGGCAAATATCAAAGAATTGAGATCTAAAAATTTACCTGGAGGAGCAATGGCTTGATTGCTTCGCTTGAACAGTGCCTGGACTTCACGTCTGCATCGCCTGCCCTCAGACACTGACCACGGCTCTGTCGATGGACGGCCATGGTGTAGGTTGCTACTCTCGCGTTCTTCCCAGGGGCCCAGGACAAGGATGTGTCACCGGCTGGCCAACGTCCGTCGGGGTCCTTTGGGGCAGCGAGGAACCAAAGAAATTATGATTTTGGGGCAGTTTACAGGATGCGAGGAACCAAAGAAATTCATTGATTAACTTTGGGAATTGGGGCGCCTCTTAGGAATTTGGGGGCAATTAATTGGGAAAGAAGACGGAGAACGGAAACGAACGAGGGCGTGATTCAAGGAGCCAGCGAAGGAATCAGTTCGTGCGTGATTTTTTTCCTTGGTAATGGGCCAAACCTGTTTCTCTTGTGTAGTAGTCTATTTTTCTAGAGATATATGGGCCCCTGCTGAGGCTGGGCCCTAGGCCGTCGCACTCCTCGCCATGGCCCAGGGCCGGCCCTGCTTATTCCAATCTGACTCGCTAACACTAACGCTGCACTGGAGCAGATACTGAACTATCAACCGTGGCATGTACAAGATCAGAAACTGTTGTGCAAACACAACGCAGAAAGTGGATGATTGTTCTGGAGTCTCAAGTGAGCGCTTACCCGCAACGAAATGTAGGACCGCGCGATGCTCCCGGAGGCCGCAAGCGTGCGGGAGGGGGGCGTCGGGTTGGGAACCGCGTTTGGGGCCGGGGCCGGTCTCGGGGACGCCGGCCGCAGGGCACCGGATCGAAGCTCGCGCGAGTTGGAGAGGGAGAATATTTAGTTCTCTTTGGGGCTGCAGCCTAGATCTCGCTGGGGAGAGGAGATGGGGCGGCCGGCCGGTGGCATTCATCCAAATCCGCCAGGGAGCCCTTGGCCGTGCGCCTCTAGGAGCACAGGAGGGGGAGGTTCGCGACGGCGGCGGAGGAGAGGAGGCGCCGGAGCTTGGGGCAGCCGCGGGAGCATGGGCGGGCCGCCATGGGAGGGTTTAAGGGGACGAGCGGCGAGGAAGAAGACAAGGGCAAAAGGAAAAAAGATCGAATAATGGAAAGGCTAACTTTTTTTTTTTTGAGGGAATGGCAAAAGGCTGACGAAAAGGCAAAGCGCTCTGTCCCCCACAGGCCCGCAGCCGAAAGATTCCGAGTTCTGGGCCAGTGGAACTGGGTAAACCTGGCCCAACAATAACAGCCCATGAGACTAGTGTTAAGTGTTAATGCCGAGCGGCCCGTCACAGGAAGCAAAAGCACTGGGGTGGTGGCTGATCGGCGACGGGAGGGAATGGCGACGGAGTTGGACTCCGGTGGCGGCTCGAAGAGGCGGCGGACGGGCGAGGGAGGGGAGCGAGCGCATCCAGGCGCGGGGGCGGCGGAGGAGGACCGTATTTCGTCGCTGCCGGAGGCGCTGCGGCTGCACATCCTCGGCCTCCTCCCGTTCAAATCCGCCGTTCGCACGGGCGCGCTCTCCACCGGGTGGCGCGCGCTCTGGGCGCACCGCTGGCCGGCGCCCTCATCGCTCGACCTCCGACTCAAGACCCACGCGCCCCCGGCGCCGATCCTCGAGTCCCTGGAGCGGCGCGGCCGGCGGCGCCTCGACCGGCTCTCCCTGACGTTCCAGATCGGCAAGGGGGACCTCGAGCCCGACGGCGTCCACCGGATCCTGGACTACGCCGCCGACCTCCACGTGGACTTCGCCCACCGGGCCCTGGGCTTCATTTTCAAGCTCCGCCTCCCGCGGGGCGACGCCCACCTCACGCGCCTCACCGTCGGCGGCATCCGCGTCGGCCTCTCCAAGCCCTTCTGCGCCCGCTCCCACACCTTCTCCGTCCTCGAGGTCATCTACCTCGACGGCGTCACGCTCTCCGACCACACCGTCGAGAACCTGGTCGCCGCGTGCCCCCTCCTCCGCACCCTCGACCTGCGCTACTGCGACGGCCTCGATTTCGTCAACCTCGAGGCCGCCGGGCCGCACCTGAGGAGCCTCACCGTCGCGGAGTGCGGAGGGGTGAGAGACATTTGTACCATGGAGGCGCCCAGCCTTCGCTCCTTCCGCTACAGCGGCTCCTACATCCGCGCCCTGACAATCCCTGCCACCTGCGCGCTCGCCGACCTTTACCTATGCTTCGGCGGACCTGCCGGTCGCCTCCGGCCTCTCGGCACCCCACTCTGTTTCGATTTTGCTTGGCCTGCAGGGGTGCCAAGAAATTGGCTTCAGGCACTCACCAACCTCTCAAGCCTCACCGTGCTTACCCTCTGCAGCAGTGCCCTGCGGGTTCGTTGCTTACTGCATTCCATTCCATTCCATCGATTTAATTGCATTACTCAGCTACTCATTGGTCATAGACTTCTTTGCAGAGAGTGTCTGCCAAGGCTCGTGAGAGATCACTAACCAAAAGTGGTGCCGCGTCGTGCAAATTGAGGAATTTGAGAGAGCTGCAGCTGCTGATGTTTGCAATGTACAACAGCAGCCTGGATGACATTTACGTTTTCATGGTGGCCTGCTGCCCCCCTCTTTTAGAGAGGCTGTTTGTGCAGGTGAAGATACTAGAGTGCAAGATGACCTTGGTTGCTAAACAGATTGCGCTATGGCCATTAGGGGTGCATTTATTTAATACACATTGTATTGTATACTTTCTCTTGCTGTGCTTTACTTCTTCCTAATGCTTACTATGCTCTGTTGCAGCTTCCAACAAATAGTCACTATTATAGACTGGGCTCAGAACAATCAGAATCAGAGGAAGAGCTACTAGAGGAAAATGGGCCAGTGGAGGAGCTGCGGGGAGAAGAGGCACCTGAGGAAAATGGGCCAGAGGAAGAGCTACCAGAAGAGGAAGATGAGCTTCAGGAGGAGCTACTAGAGGGAGAGCTGGCAGAAGAGGAAGATGAGCTTCAAGACAAGCTGCCAGAGGGAGAGCTATCAGAAGAGGAAGATGAGCTTCAAGACGAGCTGCCAGAGGGAGAGCTATCAGAAGAGGAAGATGAGCTTCGAGACGAGCTGCCAGAGGGAGAGGCGTCGGAGGAAAATCAGTCAGAGGAAGACTGGTCAGATGAAGAGCTATCTGATGGAGGGCAATCAGAGGAAGAGCCAGTAGAGGGTTGCCTTGAGAACCTTAAGTTGCTCAAGATGACGAATTTCAAGGGGGGTGACAATGAGATGAGGCTACTAAGATTTGTGTTGAGGAACTCTACTAGTCTCAACCAACTGCTGCTATTTACATCGAAGAGTGATCGACCAGAGTGGCTCCAGAAGGATCATCTGGATACATCCGATATTCTTGAAACAAAAATATTGCCTCTCCAAAAAGCCCTACCAAATTGCCAGATAATTCTCGGTGAGTCTGATGGTGATGCAATTCAGGCATTTCATCGGGAGGCCTTTGTCGACCGTCTAGTTAGTTTTTCGCTAGCATAGTCTTACAAAATAATTTGAAATATCAAAGGCTAGCAACTGCTGGGCAAGATATGCATGGTTCGGTGTTTCTGTATTCCGTGAAGGATTATGGATAACTGGTGTAGTCTTATACTCTGCAGTCTGCACTCTGCACCTTAGCTATCTGAAAAATCACTTTTTACTTCCATGTCTATTAATGTTATTGCCTTGCTGGTGTTTTCTACAAACATACTGACTTGAGTACAACAGCTGAACAAGAAAGTCTTGCAAATACTCTAGAATACTGAGACTTGTATGCGCTATATTTGTACTCTTCAATCTTCATGTAGCAGTAGTATACTGATATTATCGGTTTTTGCAGCGTTACTTTTTTCCTTGTCAATTGCCATTGTCCCTTTCTTTTTACTAATATTAACGGGTCGCTCCCTTTAGGCTTGAAGATTAAATGATTATTGTGTTGAAGTCATAAGAAAACCTGATTATGAACAGAAATCAACTTGAATTGGGCCCGGAAACTGTCAGTCAAAAATATTCTTTCTGAAATTTGACTTGTCAGCCACTTTGAATCTGGACAATGGTCCAGTTTTTGTCAATACTTTCCCCATCAATTCAGCTCAGCCTGGCCGGTGGCCACTAGTGCTATTTTCGATCGTGTGGTACAAGATAGGATGGTGGTAGCACTCAGTCGCAATGCAATCTGACTGACTGAAGATAGGATAGTGGTAGCACTCACAGTCTGACTGAAGGATGACACAACTGAAAACCTATGGCTATTAGCTCAGTCGCAATGCAATCTTGACTGGAGGATGATACGATTGTGACTGACAAAGAAGAGTCGTGTGGAGTGTATCATGCATGATCCGCCCAGAAAATGACTCGAGGCTATGTATAACCCCATCCCCTCTCTCCCCTCCCCCTCTGAACTTCAAGTGAACAGTAGTAACCAAACACATACCCAAGCACAGAAATAACAGAATGGCTGCGTCCGACGAGACGCCGATGGTGCAAGACCTGGCGTCGGCCGGCGTCAAGGAGCCGCCGAGCTGGTGTTTCCTACTACAAATAAACTGACCTGAGTACAATAACTGAACAAGATAGTCTTGAAAACACTGTAGAATGCCGAGACTTGTACTCCATGTGTTATCTTTGTGCTCTTCAAACTTCATGTAGCAGTATTATACAAATACTTTAATCTGTTGGAATGGCAGCGTTGTTGCAGCGTTACATTTTTCCTTGTCAATTGTCAAAATCCTCTTACTTACTTGATATTAACGGGTCACTCCCTTCAGGCTTGAAGATTACTAAATGATTATTGTGCTGAAATCATGAGAAAACCTGATTATGAACAGAAATCAACTGGAATTGGGCCAGGAAACTGTCGGTCACTTCGCAAAAAAAAACTTTCTCAAATTTGACTTGTCAGCCACTATGAATCTGGACAATGGTCCAGTTTTTGTCAATACTTTCCCCATCAATTCAGCTCAGCCTGGCCAGTGGCCACTGGTGCTATTGGTCCACATCGCGTGTGCTGCCCGCTGGATCACGATCCAACGGCTGAGCTCACATCGGAGCACTGGATAGATAGCTCAGTCGCGATCTTGACTGGAGTATGATACGATTGCGACGGACAAAGAAGAGTCGCATCGAGTGCGTCATGCATGATGTCGCCCAGAGAATGATTGGAGGAGGATTAAGACAAATTTGGAAAAGGAAAATCGAGGCACACACTCGAGGCTATACATACCGGCCCCTCCATCTTCAACTTCAAGATGGCTGCGTCTCACCCAAGCACAGAAATGGCTGCGTCGCCGATGGTGCGGCCGACGGTGCAGGAGCTGGCGGCGGCCGGCGCCGAGGAGCCGCCGCGGCAGTACGTGCTGCCGGAGCAAGACCGTCACGGCGACCTGCTGGCCGCCGACGAGTTTCCGGAGCCCATCCCCCTCGTCGACCTTAGCCGGCTCACGGACGCCGACGAGGCCGAGAGGCTCCGGGCGGCTCTGCAGACCTGGGGCTTCTTCCTGGTGAGCGAGCGTCTGCGTGCACCATAATGCATGGATCAACTAGTTTCTGAAGTTACTGAACTCTTGCTGAGACTGTTTAACACTTGTCCAGGCCACCAACCATGGGATCGAGGACTCTCTCATGGACGCCATGACGAGCGTGTCGAGGGAGTTCTTCCGGCAGCCGGCGGAGGAGAGGCAGAAATGCAGCAACCTGGTGGACGGCAACGGCAAGGACTACCAGGTGGAAGGGTATGGCAGTGACAAGGTGGTGTCCGACGATCAGGTCCTCAACTGGAGCGACCGGTTGCATCTGAGAGTGGAGCCGGAGGATGAGAGGAATTTCGCCAAGTGGCCCAGTCACCCCGAATCTTTCAGGTTACCTGCTCCCCTACCTTGAGTGATGTTTTTCACATTTCTAATACTGTATTAGCTTAGTTGCAATGCAAAGGAAGGCACAGTGTAAAGAATAGTGTCATAAACTCCACTCTGGGTAAACGTGCTCTGTGATTTAGTCAATGGGCATTGCATGTCTCTCTTGCTACTGGACCCGTGTTATCATGCCATTTCCTATAATGAAGTTAGGCTAAGTTCTTTTTAAAAAAGACGCAACTTCCCTATGTGAATATAGACTGTTGTAAACTTCTCTTAGTGATGTACGTAGTTCTTTTGTTGCTCGCGGTGTAGTTTTGTGCAATTTGTTGATTAATAATTGCTTTCTTTAAAAGATATCCAAAGTCAGGGGGTATTTACCCTCTTAAAAAAGGATATTCAAAGGCAACTCATAAAAAGTTAGAAACTGAATTAAAGGACCAGAAGCTTTTATTTGACTAAACTGTTCCAGAGTCTTTCTACAGGGATGTGCTACAAGAGTATGCATCAAGAATCAAGAAAATAAGAGACCTCGTCTTACGGTCGATAGCCAAGCTCCTGGAGATTGACGAGGACTACTTCGTCAACCAGATATCAAACAAGGCCCCCGGGTTTGCTAGATTCAACTACTACCCTCCATGTCCGAGGCCTGACCTAGTTTTGGGCCTCAGGGCTCACTCCGACGGTGGTCTCCTTACCATCCTTTTCAACGATGACACCGTCGGTGGCTTGCAAGTTCAGAGAGATGGGAGATGGTACAATGTTCCAGCAAAGCCTCACACATTGCTGATTAACCTAGCAGACTGCCTAGAAGTAAGCATCTACTACATACACACTTACTCTCTTGATTAATATGTAATGGTAATGGTCGGTGTTATATCCTATCTCCTGAACCCTGATGCTTCATTGACTTGTATGTAAAACTTTGACGCAGATAATGAACAATGGAATCTTTACGAGCCCGGTTCACAGAGTGGTGACGAACGTCGAGAAGGATAGGCTTTCCTTGGCTGTGTTTTACGCCGTGGATGCAGAAATGATGTTGGAGCCAGCGCCCGGTTTGCTGGATGACAAGCGACCGCCAAGATATAAGAAAATGGTGGCCAAGGATTTTGTGGCTGGGCTCTTTGAACATTTCCGTCAAGGGAAGAGATTCATTGACACCCTGAAAATATAGGTTCGCTGTTTATTATGGAGCCGTAGAAGTGATTGCTATAAAGAATAAAGAGATGGTTTTATCTATTGTGCCAGTGGGGGTCTACCTTCGCCTTTCTTATAAGTGACTCAGTTTCAGTTATTGATGACATATAGGACGCTAGCATAAACACTCACAACTTCAGGTAATTAGTCTCTAAAAACGAAAATAACGACCTATAATTGTTTCCTTTTATGAGGATGAATTAACGAACGAACAAAATACATGGGGCAATAATCAAAGCATTGAGTGACAAAAGCATTATAAAACGATACATGTATGGAGTTCATCTAGTCAACGACCTTTTGCAGCTCCTTATCATCTCACCATGGTATCGGTGGCCTCTATTTCCGTTTCTCACTATCTCACAAACATTTGGGGATGAGGAAATTTGAGTCAACTGTCAAACAAGGCGTATATGTGCAGGACTCATGTATTCTCGTGGAGATCAACGTAGATACGTATAGAGGTTGTTAGGCCGGCTTGTTATCTCTTATCTCTTGTAACTAGCTTAGCCTTATCTCTTCTATTCTTCCTCTCCAAGTTGTACTCCCGATTCTCTCCAACCGCATGTATGCGCTATCAGGGATCCTGCGCCCCTGCCTATAACATGCAACACGTCGCCTCACATCGAGGTAAGACGTTTCCGCTCTCGCACATGGTATACAGAGCCTCCTCTTTCAATCTCATCTAGCTCATCTCCATTAGTGCCCTAGCCATGTCTTCCTCCGGCTCCTCCCACCCAAACCTCAACCAGCAGGTCATGGAGAAGCTTACCCACACGAACTATGTGTTGTGGCGCGCCCAGATCGTGCCGCAGCTGCGGGGCGCCGGTGTCTTCGGCTATGCCGACGGCACCACACCGGAGCCGGCCCGACTCCTCGTCACCAAGGACAAAGACGGGAAAGAGTCATCAACGCCCAACCCTCTCCACCCAATCTGGGTACAGGAGGACCAGCAGGTTCTTGGTTACCTGCTCAACAATCTGTCCAAGGAGGTCCTCATGCAGGTGACCGCGATCACCACGTCGCCCGCGCTCTGGGCTGCTCTGGTGGGCATGTTCTCGTCTCAGTCGCTCATCCAGGTGAACAATATTCGCATGGCCCTCATCAACGCGTAGAAGGGGACTCAATCCGTCTCCACCTACTTCGCCCACATGCGCGGCCTCGCGGACGAACTCGCCACGGACGGCAAGCCTCTGCCAGATGACGAGCTTGTCTCCTACGTTCTCCATGGGCCGGACATGGACTACCAGCCCCTGGTGTCTGCCCTCGACGCCCGCACCATGCCGGTCTCCATCGACGAGCTCTTCTCCATGATGAGCAACTTTGATCAGCGCGTGGCGCTCTTCCAGTCCTCGGGCGGCTTCAAGTCGTTTGCCAATGCCACCTACCGTGGCCGTGGCGGCGGCTCCTCTCATCACCGCGGACCACCTCGCAACAAGGGCAAGGCCTTTGGCGGGGGCAACGGCAACAGCACCACTCGCGGCGGCGGCGGACGGCCCTCTTCTGGCAACAACAGGGGCCGCCGCGGCGGCTCCACCAGATCACGCCCGGATGCACCTAGCTGCCAAATCTGTGGTAAGCTAGGGCATACGGCCAAAGACTGCTGGTACCGCTACGACGGCGGCGGCGACTCCTCCCAAGATGAAGACAAAGTTGCTGCTGCTGCGGATGGCTCCTATGGGATCGACACCAACTGGTACGTCGACAGTGGTGCCACCAACGACATCACCAATGAACTTGAGAAGGTGACCATGAAGGAGAAATACCGCGGCAAGAACCAAATCCACACAGCTAGTGGTGAAGGTATGAGGATAAACCACATTGGTCACTCAATTTTTAGTACCCCCCTAAGAAAAATTTATCTTAAGAAAATCTTGCATGTTCCTAGTGCCAATAAAAGTCTCCTTTCTGTTCATAGAATTGCCCTTGATAATCATGTTTTTCTTGAATTTCATCCATATTTATTTTTTATCAAGGATCAGGCCACGAGGAGAATTCTCTATCGCGGTAGATGTGTTCGAGGGCTTTACCTGTTGATTCCGGAGCGCACAAGACTCAATAAACAAACTTTTAGTGTTGTCAAACTCTCGTCAACACGATGGCACGATCGTTTAGGACATACTTCTTTTGCTTTAGTTGAAAAACTCCTTAGGAGAAATAAGCTCCCGTATGTTGGTGAGCGCAATGTTGAAACTATTTGTGATTCTTGTCAGCGAGCTAAAAGTCATCAGTTGTCCTATCCAATTTCTACTAGTGTTTCTACTCAACCATTACAATTAATTTTTTATGATGTTTGGGGCCCTGCTCCTAGCTCCGTTGGTAGACACACATATTACGTTAGCTTTATTGATGACTACAGCAAATTTTCTTGGATCTATCTTCTTAAGAAAAGATCCGACGTTTTTCAAGTGTTCAAAAATTTCCAAGCACTTGTTGAGTGTAAATTTGACTCCAAAATCATTGCTGTTCAATCCGACTGGGGAGGAGAATACGAGAAGTTGAACTCCTTCTTCCAAACCCTTGGTATCTCACACCATGTGTCATGCCCCCACGCTCACCAACAAAATGGCTCGGCCGAACGCAAACACCGTCACATTGTTGAGGTTGGCCTTGCGCTTCTAGCCCATGCGTCTATGCCATTAAAGTTTTGGGATGAGGCGTTTCTTGCTGCTGTTCACATCATTAACATGCTCCCAAGTCGAGTCATCAATAATGAAACTCCATTAGAACGACTTCTTCATGTCAAGCCGGACTATTCCACACTTCGTGTGTTTGGGTGTGCGTGCTGGCCTAACCTACGCCCTTACAACAAACGTAAGCTCATGTTTAGATCCATGCAATGTGCTTTTCTTGGGTACAGTGCCCAACACAAGGGTGTAAAATTCCTTGACATCTCCATTGGTCGCGTTTACATCTCACGGGATGTCGTCTTTGATGAGACCAAATTCCCTTTTTCAGATCTTCATCCTAATGCCGGTGCGCTCCTCCAAAAAGAAATTCTTTTGCTCCCTCCTAGTCTTTCCGGTTATGATCAAGGGGGCGTTAATAACTGTGATGATCATATGTTGGCTAACCCTCTTAACACTGCGCATGAGTCATCTGATGATGTTACAGGAGCACCAAACAGTGGAAACAGAGATGAAAATGGCGAAGAAATCACCTCAAACGAGCTTCATCGCATGTGTCGCGGCGTGGGGAGCATATCTCCCTCGGGATCGCAGCTGCAGACGCCCAGGCGATCCTCTCCGGGATCCGTTCCAGCTGCCAACCACACGCCCGCGCTAGATGGGCCAGACGCGCCAGGCACTGTCGGACGCACGGGCGCCAGCGACCCGCGGCGTGACGCGCGGCCTTCCCCGGCAGGGCGAGATGCGCCTCCCAGCCCGCGCCAATCTCCAGCTGCCACGTGGCAGCGCAATGATGGCCCAGAACGCACGCGCTTTGCGGACCAACCGGTCTGCTACAAGCGGCGCGCCGTCACGCGTCGGGCGGACGCGGGACCAGCCTCTGATTCTGACGGGCCCGCGCCATCACGGGCTCGTGATGAGCCGAGTGGCTGCCCTGGATCTTCTGTGGCTCCTTCCTCACCATCGTCTCTAGTCGCCGCCACAAAAGATCATGTTCGTCTCGAACTGGCAGCGGCAGGCGGATCCTCCTCGGGTTCTGCCGCTGACTTGGCTCCTGCGGGATCCTCTGCGGCTGCGGATCCTGCTGCATCACCACCACGCCGCACAAGGCTACAACAAGGGGTACTTCAACCGAAAAATTATAAGAATCTAATCAAATATGGCCTAGTCTGTTCCACAGGTGAACCAGGTGAGCCCAACACAATTGAAGAAGCTCTCACTGATGAAAAGTGGAAAAAGGCAATGCTTGAAGAATATAAGGCTCTTGAAAGAAACAAAACGTGGCATTTGGTTCCTCGACAGCAAGGTAAAAACCTCATTAACTGCAAGTGGGATTTCAGAATTAAGAGAAAGTCTGATGGAACCATTGATCGTTATAAGGCTAGACTCGTTGCGAAGGGCTTCAAACAACGGTATGGCATAGACTATGAAGACACCTTTAGTTCAGTTGTAAAAGCTGCTACCATTCATCTTGTGTAGTCCATTGCTGTTTTCAGGGGATGGAGCCTTCGCCAGCTAGATGTACAGAACGCGTTCCTCCATGGTGTTCTGGAAGAGGAAGTGTACATGAAGCAACCTCCTGGGTTTGAAAACAAACATACACCTTCTCATGTGTGCAAGTTGGATAAAGCATTATATGGACTGAAACAAGCTCCAAGGGCATGGTATTCCCGTCTCAGTAAAAAGATGCAAACACTTGGCTTTGTCCCCTCCAAATCTCACACCTCCTTGTTCATTTATAACAAGTTCAACACCTCCATGTTTGTCCTTATATATGTGGATGATATTATTGTCACAAGCTCATCTGATGAAGCAATATGAGGACTCTTGAAGGATTTAGGTGCAGAATTTGCTCTCAAGGATCTAGGAGAATTACATTATTTCCTAGGAATTGAGGTGAAGCAGCACAAGGATGGGTTACTTCTCTCTCAGGAAAAATATGTCACAGACTTGGTAAGGAAGGCAGGCTTGCAAGGTTGTAAACCCACACCCACTCCTCTCTCTAGTACAGAAAAATTATCTCTTACAGAGGGAACACTCCTAAGTCCAGAAGACAGTACAAAATACAGAAGTCTTGTAGGTGCACTTCAGTACTTAACTTTGACCAGGCCAGACATCTCCTTTGCTGTTAACAAAGTATGTCAGTTTCTGCATGCACCCACTACAGTTCATATGACTGCTGCCAAGCGCATTGCCAGATATGTCACATATACTCTGAATATTGGACTAAATTTCAGTAAGTCACCTTCTACTCTTGTCAGTGTTTTTTCTGACGCAGATTGGGCAGGATGCTTGGATGACAGACGCTCAACTGGTGGCTTTGCAGTATTTTTTGGACCCAATCTCATATCATGGTGTGCCAGAAAACAAGCTACAGTCTCCAGGTCTAGTACTGAAGCAGAATACAAGGCTTTGGCCAATGCAACGGTAGAAATCATATGGGTACAGTCTATCTTAAAGGAGTTGGGTGTGAAAAGCTCTCAGGCTCCATGCTTATGGTGTGATAACCTTGGTGCCACCTATCTGTCTGCAAATCCAGTGTTTCATGCCAGAACAAAACACATCGAGATAGATTTTCATTTTGTCAGAGAAAGAGTGGTTGGTAAACTCTTGGACATTCGCTTTATCCATTCACGGGATCAAGTGGCAGATGGGTTTACAAAAGCCCTGCCCGTAAGGAGTTTCGAAGACTTCAAGCATAATCTCAACTTAATGAAGTTGTGATTAAGGGAGGGTGTCAAACAAGGCGTATATGTGCAGGACTCATGTATTCTCGTGGAGATCAACATAGATACGTATAGAGGTTGTTAGGCCGGCTTGTTATCTCTTATCTCTTGTAACTAGCTTAGCCTTATCTCTTCTATTCTTCCTCTCCAAGTTGTACTCCCGATTCTCTCCAACCGCATGTATGCGCTATCAGGGATCCTGCGCCCCTGCCTATAACATGCAACACGTCGCCTCACATCGAGGTAAGACGTTTCCGCTCTCGCACATCAACATCTCATATGCGCAAATTGTCTGTAGAATATGACCAATGACTTCATCATCTTTCTTCCTCTCATCTAAGTAGATGGGGGAGCGGATAGTTTTTTGAGGGCTAGCTCGAGCCGTCCCCGATGATACAACTTTCTCCACCATGACTGTGGCGGGAAACTTCTCAGCAACATCGGGGTTTTTTTTTCCGCCATAGTGACGGGCTTCTCAACAACAACGTTGATTTCCTTCTCCTTCTCTTGGATCGCATGGATTGTGGGAGGCATTTGTGTAGGGTCACTTCCGTATGAAAATCATTGTCAGCAGTCTCCGACTGCCTGGTGTAGCATGATGCAGGAGGAGGGCTACAGAATGTCGAAGAGGAAGCATCAAGATATTGTGCGCATGTTGTAAACCATACATATTGAGATGTCCATACCAGAACACTTACAGTTTGGACTGAGGAATGACTTTGGCGCGAGGTGCATTGCCTTTCCTTGGTGGGGCCTTCGTGGTAGAAACCTTTGCCCGAGCTCTTGGTTTGGGTGGGACGGAGTCAGCACGAGCTTTCTTCGCGCTGGACCCGGCGAGATCGGGGTTTGCTGGGTCACCCCTCGCCTTGCGCCTCTGCTTTGCAGGCACGTTTGATGGGGGCAAGGGCGGCAAAGCCTAGGGCTGTTGATACAACTCTTTCTCTGGCTCAAACGCACGAGGATCTTCTTGCAGAAGCGAAGAACATGCCCTAACACCGTTACAAGCCTAATTACACATGACTGCACCGAGATAAATGTGTGTGATATCATTCACAACACAGTGAGCCTCCCAGGTGCACAGTTTTCGTAGATTGCCACACGCCGGCTCCACAACGGCGTGATTCACGCGTCGGTGCCTCTGTTTTCATGCTCCACAACGGTTCATTTCTTGTTCAATAGTCTAGGTCGTCTCATGTTATGTGTGGCGACTTCTGTTTTTCATGCTCGGCTTTGAATTGGTGAGTGCCATCCTCTCGAATATCATTTTTCTTTTGATCTATCTGTATCGGATTTTCTCATCATTTTGTATCAGTTTTGACGCTTTGGCTTTATATATAAAGCCAGGCTCACACCAAGCGCACTATAAAGTATACGTACTAAGTTACTACGGTACAAGTTACAGTATAACATAAACATACGCTGCATTGCTGCATATACAAAGCATTCCGCCTACTTACATGTTAAACTGTGTCTTACAGGATCTAACCAACCAGCAACAATGCACAACAACTCATTCCAAATGATCTTCACTCACTAGTCACTAGTGAGCCTTGTTGTCAGCACGCCCGCCGTCCCCTTCTCCCCAGCCGTCCTCGAGCGGCATGTCCGGCATCACCTTCTTCCAGAACCAGTGCTTCCTCCACAGCAGCACCATCTCCTCGATGGGCACGCCCTTGGTCTCCGGCAGGAAGACGTAGACGAAGACGGTCATGACCGTGATCCAGGCGGCGAAGAAGAGGAAGATGCCGAACTTGAAGGCGCAGAGCATGGACAGGAACGCCTGCGCGATGACGAAGGTGAAGAAGAGGTTGACGGCCACCGTGATGCTCTGCCCCGCCGACCGCGTCTCCAGCGGGAAGATCTCGCTCGGCACCGTCCACCCCAGCGGCCCCCACGACCACCCGAACGCCATCACGAAGAGGCAGATCACCACCACCACCACGATCGAGTAGCTCCGCGACAGCTGCTTGTCCGTCCCGAACTTCACCCCGAGTATCACCGCCACGATCACCTGCATGCGCACAGATGCCATGGCGTGAGACATGAATTGTGATTAATTAGCAGTTTGTATGTGTGTTGTGTTTGTCTCAAGTCTCAACCTGGCAAACGATCATCTGGATGCCGCCGCTGATGAGGAGCTTCCTCCGGCCGAGGCGGTCGACGGTGGCGATGGAGATGAGGGTGGACAGGAAGAGCACCGCGCCGGTGATCACGGAGGAGTAGAGCGACGCGCTGGCGCCGAAGCCCATGGTCTGGAACAGCACCGGCGCGTAGAAGAGGATGGAGTTGATGCCCGTCAGGATCTGGAACGCCGGCATGCACACGGCCATCACCAGCTGCGGCCGGTTGCGCGGCTCGAGGATGTTCCGGAACGGGTTCTTGATGGTGTTGGCCAGCTCGCTGGCCTCCGACATGTCCATGAACTCCGCGTCCACGTCCGCCGTGCCGCGGATGCGCTCCAGGACGCGCCGGCCCTCCTCGGCGCGCCCGCGCTCGATGAGGCTGTTGGGCGTCTCCGGCAGGAGCAGCCCGCCCACGGTCATCAGCAGCGCCGGCGCCGCCGCGAGGCCGAGCGAGAGGCGCCACCCCCACGGCTTGAGGTTCTGCGTGCCGTAGTTGACCATGTTGGCCGTGAAGATGCCGAGCGTCGTCGCGAGCTGGAACATCATGTTCAGCCCGCCGCGGAGGTGCGCCGGCGCCATCTCCGACAGGTACAGCGGCACACCCTGCACCAACCGACAAGAACTACATTGTCAGAGCCAGTACAACCACACGCACTCTCGTCTCGGTGTGGGTAGGCGAGAATTTGACGTGGTATACCTGATTGCCGAAGCCGATGCCAACGCCGAGCATGATACGACCGAGGATCAGCATCTCGAGGTTCACGGCCGCCACGTTGAGGATCGCGCCGATGAGGAAGCTGATGCCGCCGCAGACAATGCTGGCGCGTCGGCCGTAGTTCCTCGTCACCGGCGAGGCGACGAGGGAGGAGACCAGGCCGGCCAGGTACAGAGAGGAGGTGAAGGCCGAGAGGCCCTGGTTGTCGTACTTGCAGTAGTTGTTCTGGTGGCCGGAGTTCTTCCGTCGGAACACCACCGGGAAGAACTTCTCCAGGAATGGGTCCATGGAGGTCACTCCACCTGCAACATTCGGCAGATTCAGACACAGTAAATTTTCATCTAAAACAGCTATTTTTTTTTTCAGATTCAGACACAGTAAATTTTCATCTAAATTTGAAATGGTGAAATCTGAATACTGACATGATGTTGCAAGCTTGAGGTGATTTTATTGCCTAATGGGCATGTTTGCATGTCCAAAAAGTGATTAGGTATTGTTGACAGAATCACAACATTTACTGTTCAGACTTTAGACAATGGACTAGTATTTAGCTGAATTAGTATCATACACTGTTCTACTTGTACAATATTACACAAGTTTTTATTCTGTTTGCGAGTGAACATTACATGAGCTTGAAGAACAAATCAATCTAACAGTTCCACACACAAACTCAAATGTGGAATTTCTTTCAGGTAACTCGAATTTACTACTCCCTCCGTTCATTATTATAAGACGTGTGAACCGAGCCTTCCCTCAAAAATTGGTTTTCTTTTGCTTTTATTTTTTTAGCTATGTTTTGAATCTGGGTTTGGAATTTTGCAAAATACGATAGATGCATATTTCATCGATGCTAATTCAGATTAATTTTTCTACGTTTTTAATAGGTTCTAGCGAGTTTTAGAGCGCACCGCCTGAACCATAAAGGTTGGGCGTAATTTTGATTTACGAGTTCTGAGAAGTTTTAGCGAGTTAGAGTGCATCCGTTGCACCACAAAAGTTGGGCGTGTTTCAAATTTGACCAACATCAAAGGAACAAGGGAAAATAAATCAGATTATGGATAGTTGCTAATTCAAACCGAGTTGTGAATTGGGCCCAATAACACTACCAAAATTGTTAAAAAAATATTCTCGTCAGGATAATTTGAATTTTTGATTTGAATGATGTATATTGCGTCCATGCTAATTGTGAAATTCGGCTGCACAAGTTGCACCAAACAATTCATGAGCCTATTCTCAAAAAAAAAATCATGAGCCGCCAGTCTCATCGTGTAATGTATCACATCACATTTTCTGCAAGACTTTCGGCTGACAAGTGGGACCCTCGTTGTCGTCCCCCCTCTTTCTGCTGCTAACTGACGTCAGTAGCCCCGGTTGCAGGTCAAACTCTTGTTCATACCACGACGCAAAATCTTGTAGACGACGATACCCCGGCCGCATTGATCTATCTATCTAGGAGAAGCGCCGAGCGGAAACGGACGGCCGCACGGTGATATCATCATCAGCCTGAACTGAAAGCCGATAGATAAGCTTGGCGGAGCGCCGAACACGACTCTGAATTTTGCGGCCTCTCGCGTGTCGGCTTCTCCACTGCATTAGTCGTTCTATAGACCAAATTCACCACTCCGTACACAATGATCGCGTCGACCCGTCCACCACCCACGGAAGTGGGTGAATGATTGGCCTCGTCGCGTCGGAGATGGGAAAAAGATGAGCCGTCGTGTTCGTTTGATGCACCGCTGAATCAAGAAATCCGGCAGCCCTACGGCTTGCTTTTGGCATGGAAGCTCTGTTTAATTCCATGTCCATGTGTGGCGCCGGCGTGGCAGACTGTGGTGGGGGGCAGACAGACCGGTCACGATCTGCTAGCGACCTAGGCGAGGGACCAGCGAAGAGACGAGCGACACACTGCCGGCACTAGCTCCAAATCAAGGAGGGGCCACGGCTAAGGGGGCTGGAAGAAACGTACGTGTGACATGTTACTGATGTTCGTGGAGCAGGACAAGCTCCTCTTCCGATGGCCCATGGCCGGGCGAGAGGCAGCCACGCCACACACGGAAACACAGCAGAGCGCCGACGAGCGGAGATACGGAACAAGACAAGACGGTGGGTGGAGTGGAGTGGAAGGAATCACTGGTGACTTGGTGAGGTTAGGGTGAGTGTGGGGGCGTGAGCAGGACTTACCGGAGATCCCGATGTCGTAGCCGAAGATGGAGCCCCCGACGGCGGCGACGAGGCAGGCCATGGCGACGGCGAGCGTCATGCGGCCCTTGTACTCCGCCGCCCTCTCCTTCTTCACGCCCAGCGCGGCCACCCCGCCGCCCGCCATCCTCTCTCTCCGAGAACTCCTCTGCCTCTCCTCTCCAAGAACACTCGAGCAAGGACCGAGGCAAGGAGGAGAGCTCGCTGGGCACGGAGAAGCAATGCTCCAACCAACTAGAATTCCACGGCCATATATAGATGTCTCCTATGCCCTCTCTCCTCGTCCCGGGTGCGAAGCGAGTGTGCAATTATGGCGCCGATTTCTTCTTGCACAAAAGCCATGCTGATGCTGTGCATTCAAGGCGATGAGCCCCTCCCTCCCGCGCCCCGGCCGTTGACGTTGACCCCCATCCTGCGGCGGGGGCCGAACCACGCTCATTCCGGCCCAGATAAAATCTACCCGGGGCTCCAACCGCATAAATTCGTAAGATACTCGTAGCAATTGATTGACTTGGAGTGATATCGCAGCAAATTAAATCGGTTCTAAATTCACGGTTGGCTGGCTGCTCGCTGCCCTGGCGGTACGTATACAGCGGCGATCGAGCTGGCCGCTGGCATGCCAGTGATGCCACGTTTCCGACGGCTTGGCTTGCCCCGGTCAAATCCGTGTGTGTGTGTGTGCGCGCGCGCGCGGCTACCGTGCATACATGTACCTATTAAAGTGGCAGGTCACAACTCATACATGTACCGCAGCATTTGACTGATCTGAAAAAAAAATTCCCTTGCCCGTAGTGCGCAGGCAAATCATGCAATCCCGGAAGCGCGGTTGGAGGCGTGCGGGCAAGCCAGCCGGCTCTCGGCCGCATGCACCTTCCGTTGCCAAGATTCAAGGCGGACGATCTCCATTTCGCCTTTGTTAGCTCTGCGTGTTGCATACGTAGCGCTGATGGATTACTTACTCTGTGATGAGGACGGGTGCCTGGCAGTTTCGCACGCAAAACATGGACAAAGCTCACCGGAAAATACTACCCTCTTCGTTCGGAATTACTTGTCATCAAAATAAATAAAAATTGATGTATCTATAATTAAAATACATTTAAATACATCCATTTCAATAATAGGTATTTTCAGACGGAGTAAATACAAGAAGAAGAAGAAGAAAAATGCATGGACAAAGTCACAAAGTACTAGTATGGCATACACTGAAGCGTTAAGCAACCTTGGCCGTTGACCCGTCTCCTGCGGAACTTCTCTGTCCTGAACCTCTCATAGATTTTCACCTGTTGGTTGGTTGCTTTGTTTAGGGCATCTTTAAAGCAGACCCTCGAACCCTCAATTGTTTAGATTGCGCGGTTCGAATCCCGGAGGGCATCCAACACCAACACGGTTGTGTAGCGGTCCGAACATATTTTTTCCGTCAAATCCAAGACAAAATGGGCGGGCTTTGCGGGAGTCCGGACAACAACCACGTAGAACTACGGCACCCCCGCCCCACCCAAAACCCCTCCCCGGCCACGCGTTTCAGGTTTTCTCTCTTGCCTTCGCAACCGCTCCACCCCCTGACCGCCATGTCACACCCCTGTCGGAACTCGACGAGGCTGTCACCTCAAGAGGTACACCCTGGGCTCCACGCTGCTTCTCCTTCGCCGTTGCTCCACACCTCTCCTCAGACCGCCGCTCAGGTGCCATCCGCTTTCTACGATGCTCACCATGCCTGGCAAATGTTTTGTGAATTGCCCGAGCTAAATTTTTGGTCCTTTCTTTTTTGAAGCAATGGACTCGGATATGGAGTACATCTACTAGCACTATGTTGAGTCGTCTGACTCATCTGGCGAGGAGGACTACATGGATGAGACAACGATGATGCAGACAATGCTTGCAGACACGGAGCGTGCGTGTTCTCAATTTCAAGGGATCAATCAAGGGTCATCGAGTGCTTAAACCGCAACCGGACATGTTTGTCATTTGAAACTGATGGACGACTATTTTGCCCAAAAGCTTTGCAAGGGCAATATTAAGGTCGTGTTAAGAAACACGCCACCATTCTTGAAGTGGTTGCATCACAAGATATTTGAATTTGACACGCTTTTTTTGACATGCACGGGTCTCATAATGACATCAACGTGTTGCAGCGTACACCATTGTTTGCTAGGCTGACTGGAAAAAAAGCTCCTCCTTGCCACTATAGTGTCAATGGGCATGAGTACAACATGAGCTACTATTTCGTGGACAATATCTATCCTCCTTGGGCTACTTTTATGAACACCATCTCTCACCTAGTTGGTCAGAAAAAGTCTCACTTTGCCCAAAGACAAGAAGCTGGTAGAAATGATGTTGAGAGTGCTTTTGGAGTTCTGCAGGCATGTTTTGCAATTGTTTGTGGACCAGTTAAACAATGGGATCCAGAGACCTTGAGTGAGGTGATAACCCGTTGTGTGGTGATGCACAACATGATCCCGAAGAATGAGGGTGAGGATGCTGCCGCAGGTCTTGAATTTGGGAACATGAGTGATCCTATCGAACTTCCCGACCAAAATCCGGCCACATTTGAAGAGTTTGTTCAAATGCATTAACAAATTCGGCATCGAGCAAATCACGGGCAACTGAAGGAAGATTTGATTGAGCATATGTGGGCGGTTAAGGGGGACAAAAATGTTTGAGTGTGATATCTGAATTTCTTAATTAGAACTCTGGCTGCATATGAACATTGAAACTATTTGAGACTATATATGCGGCTATTTGAACGTGTGGAAATAAAAAAACGAGGGTCGAATGTATGCGGGCAGTGTTGGATGACCGCCATCTGCATCATCAGTGTTCGCGGACTGGTCTCCCTGTGCAGGGATGAATGCCCGAGGAATTTTGTGGGTCAGTATTGAAGATGCCCTTAATAGTAACGAACAACAAATTCACTAAGTTTCAAAAATTGAATTTAAAATCATGTGGGGAATCAAACGAGTACGCAAATCGCGTGGCAATCATGCGACCGGGCAGGCTGAGCAGGAGCGTGCCCCTACGAATTTCCACCCATGCCAACCGAATTGTGAGAGTTTTAGAGCCGACATATCACTTGCCACGTTCGGATCAGTAGTATACCCCATCTACTTCCTCCTATCCGAATTAATTGTTGCACAGTGTAGCTAGCCGTTCTGTTTCGGGGGCCAAGCAGCAGTAAGCAAAGCATGTGCACCTCTCGCCCTGCATTCAGCACACACACATGTACTGTAGCATGGTGTGCAACAACTATCACAAGACATGCAACGAAAATGGACGGAGTGGTAGGCCACAACTATCACAAGACATGCAATGATGATTAATAATATGGTTGTATGCATCGTCCAGGGGCATTCTCCTTTAAAAATAACTGTACATGCTTACATATATTTTCCCTTTCTTTCAGCAAAAAAAAAAACTAGTATCTCTCTAACCGAAAGCGGCATCATTTGACTAATCTGAACATTTCGCCCTGTATTGCACAAGCAAAGCATGCAATGCGATCCCGGAGGAGCGATTAGGCACGCGTGCAACCCGTCGTTTTCGGATGCACGCACGCCTTCCACCTCGAAGATTCAAGGCAGTTGATCTCCATTTTGCTTGGAGTCTTTTGATAATTCTGAGTGCTGAAAGCTTGGTACTGATGAGGTACGGTCTCATGATGATGAGCGCCTTCAATTTCCCTTCGTCGGCTAAAGGTGTTTCCGGGATATCCCCTTTTCAGTCGGCATGAGGATCTTGACATATTTTTATGTTGTTGATTGAGTCTTAAAGCGACCGATTTTGATTATTTATTATGGTACTTTTGAACGGGGAAAATGATATTGTTTCTTGTAAAGCAAGAGGTCCGCACTACTGGTGTGAATGTAGTAGTACTTTTGAACGGAGAAAATAATGGTGTTTCTTATAAAAGCAAGAAGTCAATGTGTTCAATTAAGATCGTTCTTCCAAGAACCATGTGGCAACTGGCTTCCAAATGTGTACAACACCTCTTCACACGCCAGGCCGTGCATACATAGACCCCGTACAAACCACGAGCTCCCGTTTTCCTTTGGCTCCGTTCAACTGACACCTGCGAAGCCGTGCACTGCTCTGTTCGTCGCGTGGTGACGTCGTGTGATGCGGACGGAGCAGGAGGGTTCTCCATCTACCCCCACCAAGTGTAATCTAGGAACTCGGTGTGATGAAAAGCAGACAAAGAAACTTAAATAGGACTGTACGTACCAGTACTTATCACTTTTCACAAGCAAGAAATCTATGGCGTACCAGTTCTTAATTTGCGCTTCGCAGTTTGCACGGTCGTAATCATCGCATTTTACTAGCCATTAGCTAGCTATATAGGCGAGATATCTTCTCAATCTACCACTTTTCTTTGTTTACTAGTATCAGTCAAATTACCATCACGACCTGTCGCGATCAGGCTCAGCCTCCCAAAAAGTCCGGACGAGGGCAAGGCCAACGCGCCACCGTGGACAGCTGCCCCAGCTATCCACATAGGCTCGGGTGGTCCTAAACTGCTCAACGTGCTGCCTGCAGATCAAAACGGATGCTTGCAGAGGAGGCCGGCTCCTCCCTGACCAAAGAAGCAAAAAGGTGAGAGAAGGGTAGAAAAGAAGAGAAAGGTGAGCATACACTGGTACAGAGTAGGCATGCTCTCGGTTCATGCTTGAAAAAGATTACGAAGAAAGAGAGAAAGTGGACCCTGGTGAAGCAGCTGTTGCATTGGGAGTTTATTTTATAGTACTACTGCTCAACATACTTTATCTAGGTGGAGAAGATGAGGCTATACGGATGCTTCCATTGCTCATGCCCTCATCGGAAGGACGGCCGTGAGTGACACAGGAATAGTATGGAGCACGTTCGCTGAGCTGCCGTGGCCTCACCTCAGCGAAATTGATTACCTGGGCATGATCGCGTCTTTTTTTCTCTTTTCATTTTCCTTTAGGCAATGTTTTTCTTTTTTCGTGATTGGAGGTGATCTGTCTTTCTTTTTGGCAAAGTATGACTCAGGTTCCTAGGGGTGTGGTAGACTTTGCCTGATCCATGTGAAAAGCCTTGAGGAAACCTGTAAAGCCCTGACCCATTGAATTTGATCCAACATCAACATATGTCTAGTGAGGATTTTGGTTAGTT